TATGTCGTGTCAAAAGTGTGAATTTTACTTCAATGGTTTAGGCAACCTACTGTACATGGTACCTGCTAATTTAACTAAATGAAATGACAAGATAATGCGCTTCACGTATTCTCTTTTAGGCTCATTTATTAAATCCTACCAAAGTTCACTACATTACACTTACCACATACATAGAACTTTGTCCAAACCTTTTTTGAGAATAAGAGTCTAAAAAGTAGACTAAATTAATTAAGGATTATAATTACATCATTTATAATACCAATAAAAAACAAATACAGATTTGTTTTCCTTAACAAATAATACAACTTATCGGTGAAGAATTTAGACGAACTACATAAGACCTCTAGCAGAAGTTCTTTAGATTATAAAATCGTCTTGTTTCCTTGCTTAATTAATTAGTAGCATAAAAGTATGGAATATATTTTACTGATGAATGTACCTGTGAAAAATATTGAGTGTCACACTAAGTCACTTAACGTCGAATTTTTCCACAATGAGACGATAAGCATTAGAATACCATCAAAGTTCACTTAAACTTCTAACACCAAAACCTATCTCATCCAGAGTTCATTGAAATGTCTATTTAGTATGACATGGCATTTTACAGGCAGGACTAAGTAAGGCCTATCTATGTTGTTTTGAGAAAATTTAACTATTATTCCTTAATTAAATGTATATGACCTAGGATGATTGAGCTCTTATAGAAGAATTGCTTATAATCGAATAGACTACTTATATCAAAAAGTAGTTTTCCCGTTAATTGAAATGTATTCACCCTATTTCTTCTAAGGTGATAAAGGACTGGTAGTAGAATTTTCCAACATTGATATGAGTAGAGCTGAGATTTCCATTAAATTTCATCTAATGTTGAGAACAGCTTTTTTTTCATCACCTTAAACGAAAAGGGTGAATATATTTTATATATGCAAATTACTGATGGTCTCAAAACTCTGCTCATATACGAAAAATGTTTTACACTGTTTATTTACAAGACAGTTTTAGGGCGAATATTAAGTGTATAAAGAATGAGCCAGCTAAAGTAGGCTTACCGACAAGGCAGAGGGGTTTGCGAGCAAATCGTAAGCGACCCTGCCATGTCTGGTACCGAGACCGACAGCCAGCGCTCCATATACGCATACAGTACTCGGTGAAAAACCAGAAAAGCATTACGAGTTCCTGTAAATATATGAAAAATAATGACAATTAGCAATTCAGAATATTATATATTATCATTATTGATATTTTGTTCGTGGGTCACATACTGTATTTTGCTTAGATATGTTGTAGTTGTGCTGGTATAGAACAAATGAAT